ATTATGTGATTCAATGACATTTAATATCATATGCACCTACTGCGGGAGTGAGTATAAATCTTGGGCTCAAAGTCTTCTTGCGTTGTGGTAGCACTTCCCAGCCCCCATATAGAAAACTTTGGGTTATTGAAAAGAAAACCAGGAGAAACTCATATTAAATTAATAAGAAAAGATGGGGAAAATCCATGATTGAGGTCTCTCTGGAAGACTCTGAAGCTCTACTAAATAAGTTTTTTTTTTTCTTCCTTAAGCCTTTATTGAAAAATCAGCCACATTTATTTAGATATGACTTACTTCCTTGAGAAGAATAGAGCCTGTTTTATGGAAAATAATGTCCTAAAATATCTTTGTTACTGCCTCAGCAGCCATTATCAAACAAAGGACATAATACAAGAATGGGAAATATTAATAGTAATTGATGAGCATTTATGTTGAATAAGTGGACACAATCACATATAGCTATACAGAAATTTTAGAAATAATTCTTTAGCTGCCATTAAGTCATAACTCCCTTGAGCTGTGAGGTACATTAGTTGAATAAAGAAACATGGATGAAACTGAATCTATGACCAAGGTGTCCCAATTCCAGATGTGGTAAGGGCCTGCAGCTACGCAGGAAGAGGAATTAGAAGAGCTCTAATCTGAGTCCTGTCCTCATGACTGTTATTACATTACTTACCTGACATACCTGAAATAAGATTGTGTTTTTTCAGTAGAGTTGTGAGGGTTTTTTTTGTTTATTTGTTTTTTACTTTTGAGACAGAGCTTCACTCTGTTGCTCAAGGCTAGAGTGCCCTGGCATCAGCCTAGCTCACATCAACCTCAAACTCCTTGGTTCAAGTGATCTCCCTCCGTCAGCGTCCCAAGGAACTGGGACTACAGGCAGTCACCACAATGCCCAGACATTTTTTTCTATTTTTAGTAGAGATGAGATCTCACTCTTGCTCGGGCTGGTCTCAAATCCCTGAGCTCAAGGAATCCTCTTGCCTTAGCCTCCTAGAGTATTGACATTATAGGTGTGAGCCCCTTCGCCTGACCAGTAATATTATTCTTGAAATTTCTAAAATACTATGCATTTTTCTAAAATGCTATGCAAATATTTTTTAAAAGATCTAAGGTCACTTAACATTTGAAATGTTTGAAGGTTAGTTTTATGAGTGGACCAAGGGATTCCCAGATAGCTGGTATAACAGTATTAATAGGTGTGTTTGTTAGGATGTCTCTGTAAGAGATTAGCCTTTGAATCAGTAGATAAAGGATGGCACAAAATTTTACCAAAAGGTGGCCAACTCATATAGAATATTGTACAATTTTTAATGACTATTTTGTAAATAAAGGTACATTTAGCTATAATTTTCTATTTTTCCTATCTATGGTGACTTTAAAAGTGACTTTTGGGAGTTTATGGGTGATTTCTGGGGCTCTGTATCTTAATTGGTTCTATTTCTCTGGAAAATCCAGACTAATACAGATTGAACTAAGAGATTTGTGTATTTTAGGCTGAGTTTATAATTCTCAATAAAATCACTTTCAAAGTATACAAAGTAGTGTCACCCAACTTCACTAACAAAGAATCCTATTACATGGAAAATATAATAAATACAATATTATTCACATAATTAAATGAACTATGATAGAAATATAATTGTGTGAAAGGAGAAATAGATTATATATAGAAGGGAAGACAGAGTAGGGGAATAACCCTGAAATGGAAGTTGCAGCTTAAGGCCAGCCACCCCTAGTCTGCTGTCTCCTGGCTTCTGGGAATCCTTGTGAGGAACATGGTCAACTGCACCTGGCTTGCATGACTTTCAAGAAAATGTAATACTTAATATTAGAGAACAATCCCTCATACACGCATCCACACACATACACAGGTACTTATACAAAAACCTCTCCCACACGTACACCACTAACTTAAGCTTGGAAAAGCTTTTGTGGAGAACCTAACAATAAAAAACCTTCAGCAGTCTTTGGTCTCTTTACTATCTTTGCAGTCCATCCCTAACTCTATCTCGTGGAAAAGGGAAGGCGACCTGCTTCTATTGTTCTCTGGTTGAGTGAGATAAGATCCTTATTCTGTACATATTTCCCCTTTATCTCCATAGTCTTTGTGTCTCAGCTCATTCTTTGAGTTTAATGACTTTATTTCTTGCTTTGTTTTATCTCTTTGGGTTATGAGATCTTTCCTGATTTCAGAACTTGGTACATTTTTTTTTTCTCTTTAAGTCCTTTCTGTGTTCATTATTAACAGATTGACTATAAATGTGTCCAAAGCATATGGAAATTCTAATTTTCCTTCTTTTGTTAGTTCAATATTCCTTTACAAACTGGTAACAATTGAAATGTACTTTTATAGATGCTTTTGGCCATGTAATGATGTATTTCCATTCATTCTCTGTCCCACCTGCATAAATTTCTCTCAACACAGACCTAAATTGATAAATCTCTTCTTTGTAAGGTAATTTTGAATTTAATTCAGTACCATATGTTGTGCTTATAACCACTTTATACTTTATTTCCTGGTAAATACCTTATACTTCATTTTTTCAACTATAAGATCTGTATCTTTCATCCTTGTCCTATATTGCAAGTGTTACTATTTTAAGTAGATAAATAATTATTTTAGAATAAAGTGGAATCATTAGTTTTAGAATTGGCACAGTCTTTTTATATCATGATTTGGTGTTTGTGGGATAGAGGCCCATCCCAACATTATCACTATTAATCAGGAGAATAAGAGAAAATGGAGTGCACAAATGACATCTAATTCCAAGGTTAGAGGACAACCTAAGGATAAGCTTCCCATTTATTAAATGAGGTGGCATAGCTCATTAAAATCAAAGGCCTTGCTTGGATAAGAGTTTGAATGAGGACTCTATATCTAAATATCATGAATCCAAATAAAAAATATTTTCTCGAATATATTCTATAGCTTGAACACCCCAAATGAAAATACCTCAAATCCAGAATGTCTCAAAGTCTCAAACTTTTTGAGGACCAACATAACAGTCAAGAGAAATCCTCATTGAACCATTAAGATTTTGGATTTTCAGACTTGGGATGTTCAAATTATAACTTGAAAATATATGAAATGTGAAATACTTCTTGTTTTAAGCATTTGGAGTGAGGAATACTCAAACCTCTGCATTCCCAGAAATGCACTAAGTATCGCAAGGGATAAATATAAGCAACATTCATTATTCCTCTAAATGAATGATCTTAAGGTTTCACTGAAGAATACAGTTGTAAAACATGAAGAAACAATGATTCCAATAGAAATATACTTAAGTGTGGTCAAGGATATGTTATAAAATTCAGGGATAAGAGAGACTATTCTATGTGACAGCACTACCAAGGCAGGCATTGTGGAAAGTAAAGGATGCCTATACTTTGTAATATTCACTACAGAATATTTACAAAATATTCTCTATATGTTGTCCACCTTTTTGTAAAATTTTCTAATGAATATTTTATAAATAAAGGTTTAGCTACAATTTCCCATTTTCCCTATGTATGGTGACTTTAGGAATACCTGGTAGAACATGGGTATATGGAGAGGGTAGTCTATTCATACTTCTATCCGTGACATTCCTTTTAGATCATAATTGGGGAGGAGGATAAAGAGTTACTACTAAGATATGACACTGGACTAAAATTTGGCCATAGACCAAGATCAATAAAGTCAATCCTCATAAATTATCTTATGACTAAATACATGAAAGTCCCACTTGAAACAACCATTTTTTCTGAGACTTTAAGGGCTAAGTATGGTCAACCAAAAATACATCATGTCCATTTCATCTGTTCTAGTATAAATGCAATATATACTTGTATGATACAGGCTGTTTCCCCACCCAAGTATGATGCAATCAGTATTATAGGCATATGGAGAAGGTAGATGATCCACCTACTGTTAAGGCTTCATTGGCACTCTACTTCCCTAGGAATGTGATATTTCAATGTATGTATATCTAATACTCTAACTGTCCAACAAGATACCTTAAAAATCTCCTATCATATTTAAAATGCTCTAATAGGGTGGTGCCTGTGGCTCAAAGGAGTAAGGCACTGGCCCCGTATGCCAGAGGTGGTAGTTTCAAACCCAGCCCTGGCCAAAAACCACACACATACACAAATAAATAAAATAAAATAAAATAAAATGCTCTAATAAATAAGTTTAGTGCATAATTCTGGATTATGCACTGTATACATGTATGTGCATAAATTTGGATTGCATAGTAAAAGTCTTTATTTTTTAAAAACTAGAAAACATGGTCTCATCTTGGAGAAAAGAAAGTCTACACCAACAATGACAGAAACATGACAATGTCAAAAAACTTTGAGCTAAAGATAATGATGAGTGAGCTCCTTTACTGGAGTTTTGGGAAGCTCTGTTCATGGTGGTCCCACAATCCACTGATGACTCATAGTTCTCTTCAAATGTGCAAGGGACACAAGCCTGGCAGGGATACTGACTGTCGCAATGGACAGAAATGATAAATTAAAACCAAGACATTGTAATTTGGCAGAAATAAGTGTAAAGAATTAGTGGTATCTTAATAAGCCTATAATAGGCCACTCAAAATAATCACAGAGTTTCAAAAACTCCATAGTATAACAAAAGGTTAAAATGCGCAGCTCTGCTAGCTGATGATCTATCTCCTCAGCTGTGAAAATATCTAAAAATATGAAATGATACTTAAAGAATTTTCTGCTAGCCCTCTGGAGTTTAGTGGGATATTAGCTATAACTGAATACAGAAACCACTAACATAACTAGCATATTTCTTTTACATCCTCAGAGGTTGCAGGGTTTCCAGGTCACCATATTACCTGACCCTAATACTCAAAGATCTGGAACATTCTGTCCATGCAAACTGGGACTACCACAAAAAAAAAAAAAAAAAACCCAAAACCAAAGTAAACGAGCAAAAACTTGTTTTCTTGACTTCAAATGACCTTCCCCTTGCATTTCATAAGACAACCAACTACACTTACCTTATTCCCAGGGACACACTTCATGCCAGTTGTGGTCAGGAAGTTCAGTAGTAGACTTCTTATTTATCACTAGGCTTGTACAAAAGTAACCACATCCAAACCACCTACCCAACCAATATTAGTAATGTCCTTTTACTTCCCGATTAAAGTGCAAAGTGCTTTAAACATTCAGTATAAACACATTTGTTTATTTATTTCTTAATTTGTGAGGCCACTTTGCTGGCAGAGACCAGAGTAGAGGAATCCAAGACATATTGATTTCTTTCTTCATGACTATTTAATCGGTTAAAGTGTGCGCCACTTGCAAGTGCCAAGATGCTGGTTACATTTTAATAAATGTCCTCTTTGGTCGATCAATACTTCTCAGCCCAAAAATAAATAAATAAATAAAAGTGCTGTTCTCTCATAAGTTAATGGGGAGAAAATCTTTTTACCATCGTCAGTCATCATGACAAACAAGAATATGAAAAGTGTTAATGAAATGACCAACTGTCTATAAAATAAAAGACTTGCAAGACAGTCTCCTTTCTTCCCTCAATTTGATGAAACAAAATGGAAAATTACACTAGTGCCCATCTAGCGTGAAATGATGTTAACAAGCAGAAAACAAATGCCATAATGAAGGACTTCTAGGATGTACTATGTATAGTCTTACTTGTAAAGAGGGAATTACTGGGCAGAGCTCTAGCCCTGAGCAACATCCCACCCCCTACTGAGGAGAATCACAGCTATCATCACGTCCCTGGGGAAGTAGCACCATTCAGCACAATAGGACAAATTGATGTTCACAGCATAATAATTATCCATGTGCTGCAAACAATAGGCCACACAATTACCAACCAGGGCAATGCCCTACACAGACAAAGTAAAGTTACAAAATGAAGCAATTGTACAGATAATTGAGGCAATAGCCCCACAAAACAGGGATGTAGACAACTTGTCATTTATTGCGCATTGTTTGAGAAGGAAGAGTTACAAATAACTGAATTTTCTAGAACATCACAACTCACCATTTAAGCACAAAATATTTCATTTTCAAATGCAATCATTATGGAGGGATATCTTTGTTAAAATATAGTATTAACCCCCATCTATTCTTGAGCAAAGTATGTAAGTGCAATTATATATTATTGATAACTCTCTTGATTAAACAAATACACTTTTTGTTAAGGACATGTGGCCCAGAAACTAGTACCTGGGTTAAGAACTTAACCATGTTCAGGTAACTCTTCTCTGAACTCTATGTAAGGGTGGCAGTGTCACGGAGACTTATCAGAACACTTCTAGAGCCATCCTTCCATAAGATTAACAGGTTCCTACATAAACACTACAGATGCGAAGAAACATAAACCAAACAAATGAAATACCTAGAATTAAATAGGATACAACTGTAGATGTTTTACATAGTTTGGTGCTATCTTTGAACTTCTTTTATTAGAGAAAAGAGAATAGAGGAAGAGTGTGAAATGAAAGAAGCAGCTTGTGTACTTACCATGAACTTCAGATGACATGGTGCAAACCTCATTCAACATGTAGTAACTGTCACTGGAAATCTTTTCTGAGTCATTATTGAAGTCTGGATTCTTATCCACAAAATAATAATAATTGTAATCTCTTTATGGTTGTAGTTTTTAAATAAGGTCATCCATCCAAAATTTTTAGTCCTTTCATTGGCACTTATTAAGGGCCCCATAAATCTTAAAGGCCTTTAATGTAAGTAAGAAAATGGGAGGAGAAATTGTTTAACTAGGAATCCAGAGTTGCAGATATAAACAAAAAGCATGGGGAAGATTATAAAAGGAGTGAATGCAAAAAAGTAAAAGAATACAGAAAGGAGTCAAGGAAGAGAATTCAGAGGACATTAAGTCAATTTTTCAGATCAACATGCCCTTGCTTGTTCAAGAAAAAAGTCATTATTTCAGTATTAATAAATATTTATTGGGCACCACCGCAGACGAGACACGGTGCCAGACACCATCAAATTATATAATATATTCTACTCTGAACCAGTTTCTTTGAGGTGGAATTTGTCACTGACATTTTGTAGATGAGAAAACCAAATCTCAGAATAAAGAAACATTGCAAGCATACAGTAGGATTAAACACACAATTTGAATATATTATCTTTCTGCTGTAAATGCAATGTGCTTTTTAGCCTATCATGGAGCCTACTCACAAGTTTTCCTTACTATTCCTCTTCTGACCCATCTTCTCTTTCACCTTCTGTGGTTTTAGAACACTCCTTATGTGTGAAGCAGTGAAAGAAAAGGAGAATTGAAATTTGCTTTCTACCCTTAGAGATTTTATAGTCTGTTAGTGGTGAAAAGCATGTATACAGTATAAGAGATGACTATAGCAGGGAAATGAATGAGGCATTATTCCTGGAGGATGGTCTTCCAAATCCACCTCTCTGCCTGGAATGCTTTCTCTTCTTTTTCAAGTGCCCCAACCCTGATAACTTTCCATCTTTCAAACCTCAGCTCAAATTTTCCTTGTCTTCCATAACACTCTGCACACACATTGATTCTCACCCTACTCCTATGAACTTTTCTGTGATTTACAGACTGCAATCCACAAGCCTATTAAAACACACAGCCCTTGGCCCCACCTTCAGAGTTTGAGATTTTGTATCTGAGGCAAGGTATGAGAATTTGCACTTCAACAAGTTTCTAGATGATCTTGCTGCTCCAGAGACCATACGAGGAGCACCACTCACTAGCCCAAAGCACTCCTTCAGCATTGCCAAACATCCTCCCTGGTCTGTACTAATATTCCCTTTGCATGTACCCTGTTCCTCTCTTAGCCATTAGCCCCTGAATCCAAAAGACATTTCTTTCTGTTTTGTCTACCTTTTCATAGCTAGTAGCAAAGTATGCTAGTGGATAGAAGATGCTGAGGAAATATGTTTTACTTAATGGGTGGATGGGTACTTTGATTTACTGAGAGCTCCCTGGCTATTTCTCACCCACGGCCTCCACCAATCATGAGGACTCCACCTCTCAGGGGGACTCCACCCAGAGCAGCTATTTTAAGTGAACTTGGATTACTCTGTGGAAATGGAAGCAAGCATAACGTAGCTATTTGTATTATCATACCTTTAAAATAAGATCTCTCAAATAATGATACTTACAAACTTTTCCTCATGCTTATTTTAACAGGATAGTACATAGACAGTTGCCTTGGAAACACTCACTCTGAATATTCTAAATTTTCTATAATGGAAATTCTTGCCTTTACCTTATAATTTACATAGTCTCTTTCATTTTTGTGTTTTGCTGAGAATACATAATAAAATCCAAAGTCTGATAAATGTCATTTTTGAGTACATAATTATTATATTCATAGATTACTTTTTTATAAGCCCATTTTTGTCAGTCAAGCTTCCAAAGGGCAATCATCTAATTAAAGAAAATAAAATTTTAACCAATGTTATTTGCAGTTGTGTTTTAACTGCCTTTTCTATAATGTCCATTTCTATTTTACTAGTACATTTTAAAATATTGGTTTTTTTTTTTATTATCCCTTTTCTCATAGATCAGAATTGGAGTTGTCATTATCGCATTTGGGTTTGTGAAGCAGAAGCCCTGTTAGGCAACTTTTTTGGAATGCCACTAAATACCAACTCACCTTAACAATTCCGAACATCTGGTTCCAAAAACTCAATTGCTGGGCACAGTCAAAACATGTTGCTTTTTCTACTAGACTCAGCAAAGTCTGCCTTATTTACTGTTCCTGTTTACTCAGTTTTAAGCTAGACTCTCCCAAAGTACCAATTATGTCCTGAGAGCAAGTCTATGTACCACAAGGTGAAGAACAAGTTTGACAATTATCCTATTAATTTGAGGTATGTTTACATGTAGATGGCCAAACCAGATAATTCAATACAAATAACTCACCCAAAGGACTTATTATCTGGTTTGGTTATCTACATAGATCAAATTAGATCCTAATAACTCCCAAATCTCTACTTTATTTTACGTCCTATAGACATACCCAAAGGTGATTCTATCTGCTTTGGCCTATGCATGCCAACCTATCCATTTATACAAAAGAAGATTCAACTTTCAAAGTTAACACCTACTTACATAAAAGTGCTTGGAATCTGGCAGTATCAAAATAGATACTAGTGGTCTATTATTATATTAATACTCCTTAGATCAACTAGAATGTACATTTTGCTTACAGTGTCATTATCTCTCTTTTGCATAGTATGAAATCTAAGATTAACTTAAATATATATTCTAAGTCAGGATGTCTCTACTTGTCAAAGAAAAGTACATTATACTTGACCATATCTCAACTACAAGAATATAATGACCCCAACATTAAATTAATCTAGGCACACATTATTGAAAGCATTTACACAGTTACCCCTTTCTTTAGGATACATAATGCATTGCTACTGGACTCCTCAAAGATAAGACTATATTCATGTCTGTATAGTCAAAGCCTTTCTGAAGCATAACAGGCACTCACTAAATGATTAAGCAAACATAGGTATCTCAAAAATTAAACATGAATAATATAGAAAAAAAGAAAGTAATAACAACAAAGAAGAAAAATAATAGTAAGATCACTAACTCATCACACTAAGATAACTACTACTGATATTTTGGTGCATGTTCCTTGAGAGGGTTCATTGTATGCTTTATGATTTTTTAATATTTCATCATCTTACAGACAGTGCTTTATAAAAACTTTTTTCATTCACCATTATATTCTAAACACTTCAACACATAAATTAATACATTTCTGTGGCTATGAGAAACTTGGTTTGCATTATCATTAAGGATAGCAGGAAGATGCACCTCCCAGCTTAGGCTTTGACACCCAAACAGGCCACCACAGCCCTGGGATGTTACTCTCTCTTCACTGAGGTCTGACTCCTCACATTGGGCTTCGCTTTCTTACAGGTGCCCTACTTGGCTTATTTGAGTTCTGACACCCCCTTTTGAGCCATCAAGGGCCCATCTCAACTGCCATCTAAAAATTTACATGTCTAATGGCTTTAGAACTGAAGGGAAGAATTTTTGCTTTGAACAAGCTCCCAGATGCTTCTGTTTTCATGGTCCAAAGACCACACTTTGAATAACACTGGATAGGCTATTATCTACAACACTCACAGTGA